AGGGAGGGAGGGAGGGAGGGAGGGAGGGAGAATTATTAGAAGTCAGTGAGATGGCTCAGTGGTTAAGGATGCTTGCACTCAAGGTGCTAGCTTTCAAGTCTCACAGCCTGAAGTTCATCACCAGAACCTGAACCAACTCCTGCAAGTTGTCCTCTGACTTCCATCCATATGTTGTGGCAAGTGGATGCAGGTGTGCATGCATGATACACAAATACATAATGAATAAGGAAATAAATAAATGTAAATAAAAAAAGAGACCCAGTATCGACTTCATGGGCATGCACACATATGAGCACACTGAAAGGATTGGCATGCAGGAAAAGCTCAGTAAGTGTTAGCTGCTTTTATTATAGGAAGAAAGAGAGAAGAAGACTGAATATGAACTCCCTTAGATGGGTGGTTTTTGCTTACATGGGGGTCATTGCCAAATCCAAGCTGTGATCACTTAGCACCTAGGAGGCACTCCATAACTATCTGATAATTTGTCAGAAATATGCTTTTCAGAATGAGGACGTTCGCTATCACCATAGTCATCCTCCTCCCATATGTCCTGTCATGGACACCACCACCTTGGGAAGAGGCCATACTGTCCACTTGAAGAAAAGAACTGCTGCTAAAAACCGATATTCTATCGGGCTTTGCATTGAACACAGTGAGCAACAACTATAATCACCTTAAAGCAGGAACCAATACATCTGCCTCAACATCTTTTCAGTGACTTCAGAGACAGTTAAAGCCTTTACTTCAGATGTGCATATGAGACAAATGTTCAAAGAACACCCTGACACCTGGGTCTCCTCAAAGTTGAACAAGCATCTGGCCAGGTAATACATTACTACCTTTCTGTGTTCTTCTACTAAAACATAAGTACCATCACCATCAGTAAGCCAGAGAAAACTATAAACCAGCCAAACGACATAGCACAGTGAGGCTCGATGGCCTGTGAGTCTTCAGAACAGCGTGTTACCTTGGCAGAATGCTCCATGGTGACCACCACTTTGGTTTTGGAACTGGATACTAAATCCATAGCTCCTCCCATTCCTTTCACCATTTTCCCCTGTAAAACAGAAACAGAAAATGAGTAGACAGATAACAGTCTACTTCCATCATAAGAGGAAGTAACAGTTAACTTGCCAGAACAAGCCACCACAGGAAAAACTTACTGGCCATCACTACTCACTACTTGAAGCTTTGGAACCTAAAATTTTATTTTTCCGTTAGCCTGTGGTTGAAGGATAAAGTTCAGAATAATATTTAAAAATATATTTATTGTTGTTGTTGATATTATTACTGTGTACATGTATGAATGACATGGAGTGCACATGCAAGTCAAAGAACAACTCTGTTGAGCTGGTCCTCACTCTTCTACCTTGTCACAGATTCTCAGGATCAAACTTCACCCATCAGGCTTGTGCTGCAGACACTTAACCTGCTAAGCCATCTCGACATCCCCCAGGCTGAATATTACCACCTCACTTAACTACTAAGTGTTACTAATACAATTTTGTTGACAATTTGTCAATAATAAGACAATCAATGAATAAGAAGCTAATATAGGAACCTTGGTAGAATTCTTGCAAAAATATTTGATTGAAACCTGACACCTAGGACCTCCAGTTCTTTCTTTTAAACAAGTAGCTGTTATTACTGATTTTTCCATTACAGACACTTTCTAGAGCACATTTGGGTTCCCACAGATTCACATTAGTAGTTTGAAGCACTAAAGGCATTCTCAAGTAGTGACTAAAAACGAAGGTGGTGCTGTCTGCCTGTCTTTCTAGCTCTGGGCTTTCATCTTGTGTGTGGAAAAAAGGGAGAGAGAACAAAAGGAAAACCACATTCCACTCAAGCAAACACAGAGACTAGAAGCCGCATTCAGAACCATCTTGCCATCACTGATCTATCTCTACCCACTCCTCCATCTTCATTCATTATTCATTCATCAACTGCCTTCCAGGTGCCATGCACACGCAAAGATTCCCACTGTCTGCTCTGTCTCCTGGATACAGAGTTTTGGAAAACACAGGTGTTTCCAAAGATGATGAAATAAATCCTCCCACAGCTCAGTGAAGACACGACTTCTAATGTTGAAAGGCTTTATTTATTTATTTTAAGGCTCAGTCTTCTTGCTCATTTGTCAGTAAATACTCTCCAGTCATCTCAGAGCTCTAAGGAGATTACGAAGGACACCTGGACTTAAAATAGGGTCTCAAATCCATGACTCCAGAGACATGTCAGAGGTAAACACAGCATGATGCCAGCATGAATTAGATGAGCAGCATGTAGGAAGGGAGGAAGTGGCTGGGTGCTCTGTGGCTTAGAGCCTGCCACCAGGGAGATGGGGAGCAGCTGGCAACAGTAGAGGGGAGAGGTGTATGGAAGATGCATGATTAGCTGTGTTCAGATAGGGAAGTTGGAAACAATGCAAAATATCCATGTGGAAATGTGCAATGCTAACTTCTCCGATCAATGCTGTGACCCTTAGTCAGATGAGACTTTAAAAGATCATCAGACCATCAGGTTTCTGTAGAAAATACCAATATCTTTATGGTTCAATGAATATGGGAAAGTCATAGACAGAAACAGAAAACCAGAAATGAAGTTAATGTGCTAGGAATTCCTTGAATGAAAAAAAAAAATCCTGGGTTAGAATACACAACAGGCAAATTTTGAGACACAATGATTACAAAGATTTAAAAACTTATGACAGCCTCTAACAGGAAGCTTGCCCAATTTAACTAAATCTGATGTACATATTTGAAATCACTTCAATTAGTAAAATACTTACAGAGAACTTCCTGGGTACAAAACACTGAGCTGGCAGGAACATAGCATTTTAAGGAATTGTAAAAAAGCCACCTGTTTGCTTCTATTAAAAAGAGCCCTCTCTCTACTCACTCACTATATATGAAGTCATTCATCACCCAGCTAAGTGATGTGATGTTCTCCAGCCCCCAAAGCACAGGCTAGAAATTTCACAGCCCCATTCTTAATATTTAAATGCCTACTTCCAAAAGTGAAAAATGCACAAGATTGAAATAGAACACCTGCATCTACTCTGTTAACCTCCGAGTGACACTGACAAAATATCAAAGCTCACAGAATTTGAGTTAAGTATTTATAAGCCTAAAATAAGACTGTATATCTCTGCCATAGAGCTGTGGGAAAACCCTGCATAAGACAATGTATGGAAGTGTATGGTAAATAAAATTTACAAAGATATTCATGTAGACCTTCAGTCAACTCAACTTATTGAGTACCTAGAGTAACCTTTATACTACACTAGGAATCTCCCAAAACAGGATCCTTTTCTGATGGGGGATTTCCTTTTGTATATATGTTTCTCTTGTTGGTTGATGAATAAAATGCTGTTGGCCAATAAGGCAGGAAGATGGGGGGTGGGAAGAGACAAGGATAATCAAGGAAATGTAGGCAGAGAAGCCTGCCAGAAAGAGACAACATGTAGCTGCCAAAAGGAGCAGCATGTCCAGGCATTCTCCAGTAAACCAAGGCCATGTACAAATACATAGATTAGCAGTTATGGGTGAATAATTAAGACACAGCTAGCCAATAAGAAGCCCTAGTCATCAGTCAACAGTGTTATAACTAATATAGCTTCCATGTGCTTATTTGGGGCAATGTGGCAGTAGGACCTGGTGTGAAAGAAAACTACCAGCAACACTTTTCTTTGAAATGTTCCTTGTCTAGTTGAAGGGGAGTAACCATGAGTCTTTAGACCAATCAGCTTTCTTTCCCTGAAAGTGGCTTTCCCCACTTTTCTTTTATCCCCAAGATGCATCTAAGTGACCTTTCCCTGTGTCCTTTCAGTATGTAATTCTATTATTAAAGGGTTTTTCAGCTTTGTCCTTCCCTCCCTACTGGCTCCTTTCCCCCCACACTATAAATAACTGGATGATGGAATTAAACTAGCATAGGCATGTCCAAGTTGCCAAAACACTGAGAATGCAACTGGTAAGTGTGCTTGGAGAAAAGATGGAAGGAAGGGGTGACAACAATCTTACCAAGAAGAGATTTCAGTAAACTCATTCACTAGTTGAGGAAAATAATACTGAAAAATAATAGAGCAGTGCTCTCAAATCTACGTGTTTCCAGTTGTAACAGTAAAATCTTCAGGTATCTGGTTTCTTCTCTTTCAGGACGCTCAACACATTGGAAAAAGAAAACAGAATGTTTCCTACCATCTGAACTCCAAAAGATTTCTGAAACAGAATCAATTGCTGAAGGAAGACAAGTGATTCTATCTAGACTGGCATGAAAAAGAGAAAAGCAGTTATCTAGGGCATACACATCACTATACTCAGCTTATCTGCATTTGTTTGGGACCCAACCATTTGTGTTTCCCAGCTCTACTGCAGTTAAGAGTAGCATGACCCTGAGATCCAGACAATGGAAAAAAGGAGAAAGGTAATATTCCTGACTTCTAGGTGGTGTCCCATAACAATTCTTGTACGCATTTTTCATGTTCCTTCACCTTCTACTGTATGGACATGGGAAGGCAAAGTGACAGAATATGATGAGCACTCTTCATCCTGGGTCCTTGCACGACTGTGTATAACAAAGTCCACTTATTCAGAACCACATTCCACTATTCAGCATCAATGGAAAGGGAATGTTGTGGGTGCCAAATCACTTAAACTGGAAGACTTACTTGATACAGCAGCTAATGTAACTAATTCGAGGATGTGGTGACCAAGTATGTTAAAGAGATAGCAAGGAACTCAATGTAGAACTAGAGTTAATTATATAATGGGGCAAATGGAAGGGGATTAGCAAGGCTCTTCAGAGGCAAGAGGAAGATGACTCTTCCAGACACTGTGCTGGGTACCATAATTCACTGTCCTATCCGAACAGCCAGCATATCACTTGACATTTAAGAAGGTTCAATTTTCTTTCTCTGTGAATGAAGGAGGGAGAGAGGGAGAGGGAGAAAGGGTAGGAAGGAGAGAGCAGAATGGATTTGTTTGTTAAGAGAACAGCTGAAAAAGAATATGGATTCTACTTCCACACCCATCTTCCTCCACCAACTCAATATCCTATTCAGCATGCAAAATAAAAAGCTGTAAAAACAAGGGAATTAAGGAACTAAAAATATACTTTTAAATAAATCACGAGAGAAAGTTGACAGTTGCAGAAAAATAGGCCTGTAATGCAGAAGAGGTTTGGGGCATGAGTTGTGCTTTCTGTAGGGTAACACTAAGTACAGCCTCTTTAAAACTCTCATCAGCAAACATGTATTTCTTGAATGGTACAACTTTAGATCTGGAATGTATCCTACCTAGTATAATGGGGGAGATGATTGCAGGACGTTCAGCTTATAGCCATCTTACTGTTTTTTTCATTTAAAGGCTGCCCTGATATCAAGCATGAAAAGAATGTAATAAAATGAGCCAGAAATTCTGTATTTTTCATTAAAACAGAGTCACACAACACTTCTAAAATGACAATGCTCCAACTGTGATCCTTAATCTGTAACTGTTCATCCAAGGTCTGTCATACAAGTACCATGGCAGAAATCAGAAATAAAAGACGATTAGCATTTTCAATATAAATCTAGAATATAGACTTTAACTATAAATCAATGTTTTCAATATATTTCATCTGCTTTGTTTCTATTTATTAATACTAGAGGTATATTTTTTTGTTTTTTTCAAGACAGGGTTTCTTTGCAGCTTTGGAGGCTGTCCTGGAACTTGATCAGTAGACCATGCTGGCCTCCAACTCAGAGATCCACCTGTCTGCCTCCCGAGTGCTGGGATTAAAGGTGTGCGCCACCACCAACCAGCTTAATGCTAGATTTTTTTTAAGTAAAACTATTAAGGTGTTAACACTAAAAATGTTAATGCATCTAACTACAAATACTCAGTTATATGCAACAAGAAATAGTAAATCAAGCTCTGAACATGATCGTGTAATTTCTGATGACTTTACAAAGAGTTTGAATATTTCAGAGGGTACTGCAAAATATGCTTTAAATAAAATACAAAACATGTTGAAAATTATTCACGACACCATCTTTTTCATTAGGCCATAAATAGCAACGGATCAGTTCTAGATTTGTTACTTTTCATTATTCTGGTGTGAAGTGAGAAACCACTTCATTGTATATAGAAACAATTTATAGCATTTTAAAGTGGTGGCATGTGCCACAGTAGGAAATGTGAACTCACTGGAAGTGCAAGGGAATGATGGCTGTGTGGCGATTTAGTAATAAAACTGGCACTTGCTGCTCAATATTAAACACCAGAACACGAAGTATCCACCTCAATCCAAATATAAGCCTCTTCATTTCTGTCTTCCCCATTATTAAACAATGCTCAAGGGAAAAAAAATGTTCTCCTTAGCATGCTCCCAGCTAAAGAGTAGGAGAGAGGCAAACCAATATGCTTAAATAATAACATTTGTTGAAACCCAAAGAAACAGGCTGTAACTGTTTTTTCTTTAGGGACAATGAGGATTTTCAGTTTGCCTTAGTTTACAACAAAGCTATAGCAAAGTGCTTTCCTTCTGTTTTCAAAACCCTGTACAGACTGCAACTTTCCTTTCATAGACTTAATTCTATTTCCCAGGACAGGTGAATTGATCATGTAAATGAACTAGTTTGGGACTGGAAATATAATCATATTCTCTATTGCTAGGTAGGTAAAATTGCTTATGCATCATCAGTATCAGTTATCCATCATAAATGGCCTTTCCAAAAGCAAAATGTAATAAACCTGACATTTCATTTTAATAAGCACCTTTATTCTTGCTCTGTCAAGGACCCGTTTCATCAGCTACAACCTGCCCTGGGGCTCCTTTGCATGTAATCCTCAGAGTTTAAACTTGGTCCCTTCCTGGCCTTTGCCTTCACAGTGAGAACTAGACTCAATGAGCTCTCCGGTGGTTGTCTGGTTTGGGAGGCAGCCTTGAAGTTTACATCCCCCAGGCATGTTTCAGTGTGTTCCGCCAACTGCCTCAAACTATCCACTCAGAAGTTCCCATGGCACAGGCCCGGCCTGGTTCTTCAGGCCCTTTGGGGGTTCTTATGTTCCTCAGCATCCTTTTCCCAAACCATTATAGTATGATGGTCAGATTAAGAATTCTTTCCTTGGCCTATAGCTCTTGTGTCTACTTTTTCTACAAGAGTGACTTCATCTGCTCTCCCGAACATAAACTGCCTTTGCCTCTGCTTGTATTTCTAGTTCAGGTTTTCTCTCTGAGCTTCAAACATCAATGTCTGAAAAGCTGCAGAGGTCTCCATGGCAGCCTGATGGCTGATTCCCCAGTTCCCCCCTAAAACCTTGGCTGACAGGATAGATTTTCCCAGCCTTCATTGAAGTCACATAAGTAAGTTCTGGCCAATGAAAATGATTTCAATATTTCAGGGCTAGACAACAAGACTTCACAAGAATAATCCATGTTCCTGAACCTCCTACAGAGTCAAATTGGAAATGACCAAACCTGAATGGAGGGAATCTTAACCCTTGAATCACTGTGTATAAGCCAATGGTTGCCAGTCACAGATACTCATCTTAATTCTGCATGCATGAAAATAGAACATGATTTTTTTATAATGTGTTAATTAATATATGTTTCAGCTCAGTGCATTCCTAATGAAAATGGATGTTTTCATCAAGGCAAATTTTGTTTACCTGTTAACTTCCTTCCTAGGTCATCTATCCCAGGATCCAAATCAGAAATGTTCTTATCTCCTGCATCTCCTTTATATCTCCAACCAAATCAGTCATTCAATCACCAAGAACTCCAGTTTTCCCAACACTTCTTGAACTTGATCTTTTCTTCTCCAAATCAATGTTCTCACAATTTCTCCCTGTCATCTGTATCCAGCCTTGTGCCTCCCAAACCTCTCTAGCCAACAAAAATGGTAATTACTCTAAATAAGTAGCTGATTACACTCTTTCTCTATATTAATTCTCTAGGTGGTTGCTCAGTATATCCAGGTAAAGTATAAGCAACTCAGTCTGGAATGCAAGCCAATGAAATCCTGACCCATGCCCTCCCGGTTTCCTGATTTCCACATTCCTATCACCATGGCAGGAACAGTAAAGTGAGCAGACATTACATATGGTTGTCCAGTATGCGTTCACAGTCAATCCCCAGTCAAGTGAACCCCAGGACATCGTATATAATCAATCATGATTATTCTTCCAGAAAGTCTTCTCCAGTTCCCATCTTACCTTATTAACAAGAAGAGATGAGAGACTGACCACTCATGAGTGCTCTCACAGAATCCATGAATACTGACATTTGGAATTCATCCAATTACTTTTATTAATATGGAGCTGGTGGCCCCTGGTGGGTAATGACAAGGCCATGTTGACACTTACAATTTGAGTCTTTCTTATGAGAGGGGCAATGTCTGGTCAGTAGCCACACTCTTACAATCCAACGACCTAAATGGGGAGCCTCCAAGTACCCATTCAGCTAATTCATCAGGGCTGGGGTCCTATCACCTCTGATAGAGAGAAGACCATCAGCCACAGATGGAAAGCCTTACCTTGTTAACTAGAACATAAGCCCCTCCCCTTCCTTTTCAGCTCCAGCTCAACACAGTAACTGATATATAATGGATATTCATAGTAGGTATTTAAGTAAACTTGAACTTATATTTTAAAGTAAGCTCTGTTTGTAAAATACAGAATTTGAGAAGGAAAGCCAAAGAAAAACAAATTAAAATTTGGGGTTTTACCTACAGAGAAATGAACAGCAAGGAGGAGGAAAAACAAAATCCAAAGCCAGACATGATAGCTTATGCCTGTAATCCTAGCACTTGGGAGGCTGGGGCAGGAGGATCACTGTAGCTCAAGGCCAGCCTCAAATATATAGTGAGTTCTCGACCAGCATGGACTACAGCAAGGGACCCTTATTGAAAGAACCAAACCAGCTAACAAAAAGCCAAAGTATTAAAGATATGATAGGAGGAGCTAGGAGGAGGAGGACAGGTACGGGAAGGGCAGAGTGCTCCCAGGTAGCTCAGTGCTAAGCTGTTAGACTCTCCCTACTTCCTACTTAGAACAACTGCAAGTTTCTACAGCAAAGAGGAAAGGGAAATACATGCCCAAGGATAGGTGAAAACAAGAAAACTTCAGGATGTATGCTCCTTAATGCATCACAGAAGTGATTCAAATCACACACACACACACACACACACACACACACACACACACACACACACACACACACACCCATCAGACAACCTGAATTCCCACCACTGTCATCTTACAAGTTTTAGTTTCCCCATACACAACCACAGCAGCTGGAGCTGAAGACATCCAGGGTGTTTCTCATTGCTCCCTAGAGCATGGAGAGGAATGGGTAAGTACACCGATTAAGGGAATGAACTGGACCCTCAAGAGGTGACTAAAGCAAGATGTGAAACTGATATCTCACTTCAGGCACAACAAAGTTCATATTCAACAATTCCTTCAGTGAAGATGGTGGCAGAGACCAAGGCATAGTAGAGAATATGGTACTCTGAAACTGATCCCAATAATGGATCATAACTCTTTTATATAATAAATCTTTTTTATCTTCCTCAGAGCAGACTGCTAAGTAAATGTTATTTCATAAAAATACAAAATATACTTGTTGCTTGTTTTTCAGAGGAGGAAAATGTCATTTACAAGTTAACCATAGAAAAGAACATAAGAAACTTGACAACCCAAGCCATGGCTATGAATTAAGCTTCTACTTCCCTTTTGGGGGGGTACTCTTATCTATCTCTGGGTATACAAAATTCGTTGCTTTGAACACCTTAGAGTTCCTAAATGTCCTCCTTTTTCTTGGGATGGACCAAGACCAACAATGCAAATTCTAAAGCCTTAATACTCACTATTTTCTTTCAAATATTCACAAAGAGTAAAATTTATTCCCTCTAGAAGTACAAGGAACAATTCTACTACAATTGGTGGAATTATAAACAAGTACCATGTACCAACTTTAAAATAGCCTTGATAGTTACACAGAAAGTTTTACAACCATGTATATTTTCTAGTTCTAGGCCAGATTTCTGAAAATTTATTCTACGTAGAAACTGTTTATATCACTTTATAACAGAAACTTTAAGATACTGATTGTTTCAAGTGAGCCTGAATACACAATTCCTACTGCAAATGAAAGATGCCTTTTAAAACCATGATCAGAATCTTGATTGATTTATTATGGGGTAATCCATAACAATTGGCTATGGCTCGAACATGTCAAAAATGTAATAGGCTTGATTCCTAAAGAAATCAATTAAATTCATATATGAAAAGTGAGTTTTGCTTCTATTAATTAACCACAATGAATCTCTCATATCATGAAAGAGTAAATACCATTCAAGAGTGGTTCTACAGCGTTCTTATGAAACATCATTCCCAGTGAATAAAATCCCAAGACATCTAACATTGACTATCATCAATTATATCAAAGCCATTAAACACAGCTGACTATACGGAGTTAATTAGCTGCTCTTAAGTGAACTATGAAACAATGTATCTTCTTTTCCTAAGGCACAATGGATGTGAGACCATATTTCTTTTGTTGATGCCATTACAAAGGAAATGCAGTACAGAGGTTAACTTCCTTGTCAGGAAGTCACAGATGAGCTGTCTGATCTATTTTCTGGACTAATAATATGGGCAGTCCGAGAAAAACCTGTTATTTCTAGCTCTTCCTAAAGTTGCGGCTTCAGTTTTCATTGAGTCTAATCATAACATGGCAGAGATGGAAATAAATATCACTTGAGCTGCCTTATGTTCACCTTTTTTGCTTGGCCGCCTTCAAAGGCATTGGTGGGAGGAACTTGAGCAAGGGTCTCAGAATAGATATATGGGGTGGTTCTGTTTAGAATGATTAAGTGCTGTGATAAAATAAGTAAGTTCCAGAGCCATTCATTAAGCAGAAACAAAAATAGGTATCGGCACCATATTTAATATTAATTTTTCTTTCCATTGGATCACCAAGAGGGAATGTGCTTGAATCATATGAAATCACCCACACATACCAAGTATGATGTACAAACAGAGAAAGTCTGTGTGCTGGGTTCAAATATACATTCTAGTGGGTTGAGGGTGTAGGGGTTAATAAAAGGCCTCATTCACCAACACACAGCTACTTCAAAGCCTTATGTCACTTTTAGGTAGTCCCTGGATAATCACAACAACAACAGCCAAAACAAAAATAATCATTTTTATAGGTATGCATATACAAGGAAACATCCGTCTCTTTAACACCCCATTGGCATGGAATACAAATAATGGCTGTCTTTTGAGATCTGAAATAGCCCAGTCTCAGAAATTTTCTCCAAAGAGGATGTGAGAAGCTGAACCATGGCAGAGGCACTGTTGCCTCACCATCACCTCCCACCATCTGCAAAGCTCTGAAGAGCACATCACAGAATTATTGTAATTACACTGCCATTTCTGACAGCTGGATGGGACTTCTACAGTGAGAGGCATGGTGACTGAAAGAATATTACTGAGGAATACAGTGAAGTGAGCAACGGTGTTTTTATCCACAGCAGAAAGGATAAAAAAAAAATAGGGTAGAAGATAATTTAAAAGGTTTTTTTTTAAGCCCACTAAGAGAAATTATGAAAGAGCAAGTTGCAGACACCAAATGTAGGTTCTCTATTAAGCAAGTAAAGGTTTGGATGAAAGAGTACAAAATCATTTGGAGTCTACATTAATTATAAGTACTCTGTTTAAACCTCAGCTGCTGTCCAGTCTGATGACTGTGAAGAACCGGCTGGGAGTGGTTGGTCACAAACAAAAATGGCAAACTGGTCCCATAACAGCTTAGTTAGAAAGCCTTGCTTTTTATTTCAGGTGTGACTCTTAATCTGTGAAGAGTGCTTCCTATCTGAGAGACAGTCTAAAACTTTGACGACTGAGAAAGTCCCATCTCTGGGACTTGGGGAACCACAGTCCTTCTAAGTACCACTGCCTGCAGACTCACAGTGTGAAGCATGAGCTCCTGGAGTCCCATGGAAGGACCACAACCATGACTCTTCTGTAATACTAGGAAGATGGAAGACCTGAGTTGATGCAGGAAGGGCCAGGGGTCCTGACAACACAGGCAAAAGCCACTTTTGGAAATCAAGTCTCATCTGTAGACTTTGGGACCAAGAGTGCTGCTATAAACTAAAACTGGCTCTTCTTCAAACTAGACAGAATGAGATGGCAATAAGGTTCTTTTCAAATACCAAGATTGGTTCAAAGGATTGCTTTGAAATTAGAGACATGGACATGAGGGAGTGATATTTTGTTTTGTTTTTCTCGTTTTTTCCTCTGTGACTAGGTTAAAAATGGAAAGTTGTTTTCATTCTTCAAAACTCTTTATGTGACATGGTGGGGATCCATACTGTGAACTGAAAGACTAGGGACAGTGACAACCTCACAGCAGCAAGTACAGCTAGCACCCATATCTTGGTTTCTAAATACCACCTTTTCAGTAAGAGAAAGCAAACCACTTGAAAAAAGAATTAATTTGCAGTGAAATGAGCATCTTTTATGGGAAGCACTCAGTGAAAAATGATAAAAATGGGAGTGTCCTAAAGAGATCTAAGTGTGAGCCAAACTGAAAGATCAAAGATAGCCTAGCTATCATTGAGGATAGCTACAACACTTAAAGCAAGAAAATAAGTAGCACCATATTGTATCAAATGAATCAAATGATGAATAGATAGGAAAGAAGAAATATTTTTTCTCTAGAACAAAAAAAATACAGAACTTCCTGTTTAAACTCAATAGTTCTGACAATAAACGTGTAAAAATTTTCTTCATAGAAAAAACCCTCCAATTCTCCTAATACCTGCTGTGTGCTCACCAATTCAATACAATTCTCACTTCAAACATCTGGGGTTAGTGTAGACCCACAGGGAAAGGACTTAGTCCTACAAAAATGACCTTCTCATACCTCAAAAGACAACTACAAATATTAACTCTCAACATTTCTGATCACCCACCTACCAAGTCAGCAGCTCCTATAACCCCCTTTCAGGTTTAGTCATTGGCTAAAACAGGTCACAGGATCCTGGAAGGCATCTGACTTCTGGCTGTTTGTTACAAAGGACACATCCAAAGACCAACTGAGTGAAAGAGATACCTAGAGCAAGGCATGACACATGGAGTTCAGGGCCTCTGTGTTGGGTATACTTCCCTCATGACTATATTCTATATCCATAAGTCTCAGAGCCCATCATCTTTCCTACAAGTCTATGTAGGCACTGCTGATTAAATCATTGGCATTGGTAATTGAAAACTGGATCACCAGCCCGAGTCTTCCCTCCAGAGGAACTATAATGACAGTACCCTAAACTGGTGTCCATCTAACCATGGCTCTGGAGACCCTGAGCCACCTAACCAGCCTAAGTTCAGGCATAGATAGAAGGGACTTGCCATCAACAAGTGATGCTCCCATCAGGAAATTCCAAGCAATTTAGAGAGTCAGTGTATGTCTTTCTCACTATTACACCTTCCCTTCAAAAGGCAGCACTTCATCATGACCTTGGAAGAGGTTGAACTGCTTTCAGAGAATAAAGTAGTATTCTAGAGAAAAGGAAAAGTGGTATTTAATCGTGAACAAACCTGGAAACCCAAGTGACAAAGAATAGAGTGTGCCTTGTGATTCCATTTGCTTCTAAATCCTAGAAGGACATTTTTACTTATCCAGTATTGTTTCTTTTACCAGTTAAACCTATTTTTAACTGGATAAAAAGATCAAAGTAATCTGGGTATGGTGGCACATGACTATAATCTCAGCACTTGGAAGACAGGCAGAGGATGACTGCAAGTCTGAGGTCAGCCTCATCTACACACCGAGTTGCAGACAAGTGAGGACTATGTAGCAAGACTCTGCTACCAAACAAAACTAAACACAATAAAGTTATACATAACAAAGGAAGAACATGATGTTTAAAAACATGTACATATCATATAATGTTTAAGTGAGTTTCAGCATATCTGTCTTCTCAAATATTTATCTTTTTAGAACAAAAGCCTTAAATATCCTTTTTGTGTATATAGTGTAATATTGCTATATAGAGTCATGGTTCCATGAATAGCACAAGAACTTCTTACTCCAATCAACTGTAATTTAGCATTCATTAATCAAAGTTTCCCAAGCCCACCCCCTAAGAGAAAATCAGCAGACAAAGCCTTACTGGAGGACATTCTACAGGCACCTGGTCAATACTTCTCCAGACAGGCAAAGTCATGAAAAATGAGGAATGGCAGAAACTTTCATGGACCAAATAGGACTAGAGAATAATCAATGAACATTCTGGGGCATTTATCACTCCTAATCAGTCTAATAAAATTGTATAAGAAAAAATACAATATCCCTGAACTGTATCTTGAAGAGACAGAGGACATTAATGGGAGGGGGAAAACATAGAATCCACACAGATTATATTTATGTAACAGAAGTATGTCAATTTGTGTTTCTCAGTGCTGACAGATACAGCAAAAGCCATGGTGGGACAGGATTGTAATAATGGGAGAAAGGCTATTCAATCTCTGATACTTTCCTATAAATTTAGAATTATCCTATTTTTTTAATTTCTTGAAAAATAAAATTCCATTCATTATTTGCTCCTCTGGCTATTTGTTTTTCTATCAAACTGAAAATAAAACAAGGGATTTGGTGCTCAAATTTCCCTCTCTAGTTGGCTGGGGTTTTTTTTCCCATCAAACTGAAAATAAAACAGATTTGGTGCTCAACATCCTCTCCCCAATCCAATGACTCCTCTCGTGGCTTTAGATGCTAAGAATAAGTAAATCCATGACAAATAATCTATGCTTTCTATTAAGATAAATTCTGTTCTCTGGCAATAATTAGACTTTATTTCTTTGCAGAACCTAACATGTAACAATAGAGTTGCTACCATTATTTTAAAATAAAGATAATCATGAGAATTGCATATATGGGCTCTAAGTTTGTTTTTTTCTTTTCCTTTTGTAATAATAAATTTTGCCATCCAAACATTGTCCTTTTGATTGGCCTATCCTAGTGATAGGAATCTTAAATTTCTAAGAAAGCCTTTACTAAACCAAACATAGTAATCAAGACCTTCTAACATAAACCACATTATGATCAGTATTTAAAAAATTATGAGTGCAACTGGACCTCTATTGTACAATGAACTGTTTCTCTCCTTTGATTTCTTTTTACTGTTATGGAATTTGTTCATATTGTACATCGTTCAATAAACCTCATTTTATGAAGGTAATTCCTTATTAGGGAAGGAGAAAATGTTGTAATTATGTTATAATCATAAATATAAATAAATAAATAGAACTTGGGGTACTTGTATTCCTTTATTAAAATTGAAAACATGGAAAAGTTAACTAAATTACCTAAAGTTATGAAACAAGTCAGAGAAAAAAAAGACTGGGAGGAAACCTCTTTTCCACTTCCAGAGAGAAGTAATTGAATCCCCACAGAAGATGTTTCCTCTCTTAAAACACCCATTATGTTGAACTTATTGCATTATTTTTCTTTCCTATTGTTTCTAATCTGTTGGATGGTGTTAATTAATTTGGTTAAGAGGCAGACAGTAAGCCTGGAAATGTCCTACATCACCTCAGCTTCGACAATTTCTAAAAATAAAGGTAGATTCTTCAGGATGCAAATTATAAAACTTTCCACTGTCCTTATAAACAAACCATGCTCCTTTCACCAGCATGAAAGGAGCTGGTGACCTAGGGAAATTAGATTTCCTCTGAAACAATACCCATCTATGAGCAGCAGTTATGTTCGGGGGCAGTAACGCGTTAGCTTACAAAGTCTGTCAGCACCAGGGTCCACTTCCAGTAAAGTTTGGGCAAAGACAAAAAAACAAAAAACAAAAAACAAAAAAAACCAAAGGTACAAATGCTGTCTTTTCAAGGTAGCTACTTCTGTTTTATCTATAGATTAAATATTCAGTTTCTGGTTACTTGGAAATGTTCTACATTGCAATAAGCCAAACAGACACCGGAGAGCTAAGACATGTCAAAAATTGGTATAAGGAGGCAAAGTTTATGCTCTATGTATGTACAATCACAAGAAAAACAGGAATCAGGTATTTCACCCAAAACTGTCTTTGGAAATTGATGCTTGCTTAGCTTAATTTGGATAATCTAAAAATATATATAATGTTATTCATTAGTAGTTCTCGATAGTTGAAGCGTTAAATATCGTGAAGACTTGTTTGAGTTCCAAGTGTTAATATGAACAATACTGACTTTATTGGTTACCACACTATTTTAAAAAATGTTATGGAAGTAAGCAGCCACTTTCAGATTGGATTTAAGGCTTACACCATGAGATATCTGACACTGCTAAGGTGGCCAGGAGCCTGAAGCTAGATAGGTCAGGGGCCCTAAGGGAAAACCTACTACTATTGTTCCGCTAAAGGAACAAAGCTCCTAATACATACTGCTATGCCTAAAAATCAGAGCAGCACTCATCGAAACCATCATCACAAAAGCTTATTCTTATGTTAGATAGTAATTAACACAGAGGCCCAGAACTAGACACTATACGGAGTGAGACACTTTGGAGCGCTCAGTCCTAAATAGAATGTCTTTACCAAGACCCTCTCCTCAAGGCTCAGGAATCTATGCAGAAGAGGATGTGGAAAAATTCTAAGTGCCAGACATTGTCGATGACATCAAAGAAAACACAGCATCTTCCAGACACGGGAGAACTGAGACATATATGAACTCAGAGAGACTATGATAGCATCTGAAGATCTGCACAGGTTCAAACCACACAAAATTCCAGCCCAGAGCAGGAAGTCCTACTTCTAACCTAGAAGCAATTTCCAACAGATAACCTGCTGGTAAAGGGAAAATCGGTTTTCTCTAATGTAGTAATACTGGGTATATCAACCACACTCAGGAGAGGCCCCATACACAGGAGGAGTTTTTCCAACACAAAACAGACTCCATTTTTTTGTGCACTTTTGGTTTTTAGTATTTTTTGTCTTACTGGGATTTTTGTTTCTTTTGTTTTTGTTCTGTTTTGGTTGAGAGAGAAAGAATGAAATTAGATGGGTAAGGAGACAGGAGAAGAGTTGGGGAAGGGGGAAGAATATGATCAAAATATATTGTAAAAAAAATCTTTTAAATTAATTTTTAAAAATATTAAAAAGAAAAAGTCAAATGAAATACTAAAAGTTCAAATTCTTAATTGTTTCATTAAAATAAAATCTTTAATCATTATTAATCACTCACAGCATCTTAGAAATTATATTAAGGACAAAAAGAAAACTGGCATGAGAAAATCCTATGGACGAAAACTATGTAGACTAATACAAAAATAATGTAATGAAATGAAATGTAAGTATAATGAAAATAAGATGAAATATGAATAGATTGAAGAGACCTAGGTAATCTCTTGTATGTGATGGATGGTGCTGTACTTCTGGTTAAGGAGACTATCACAAAACTTCCTAGTGATCACATGTAATACTTGCTGCTCTGGGGGCACAAAATCTTCCTAGTGATCACATGTAATAGTGGTGCTGGGGGGTGGGTATAAAGACAGCAATACTTCCTCTTTCTTATCCTCATCCTAGAAACAACACTCTGTAAGATAGAGGACCACGTTGGTGCTGCTCACAACTCTCTCATCACTACTAATAAAATGCATAATACAAAAAGGGAAGTCTTCCAGGACTGAAAAGATGGCTCGAGGTTAAAAGCATCAGCTGCTCCTCAGTGGATCCAGGTTTGATTTCCATCACCCACGTGGCTACTAGCAACTCCCTGTAACTACAGTGCCAGAGGATCTGGTGCTCTCTTCCGCCTCTGCCATCACACATACATGGTGCACAGACAACATCCAGGCCAACACTCATGAATTAAAAATAAGATAAATTCTTTTAGGATGCTCCAGTGAAATCTACTAAATAAATGTTATTCTCTCCATCACATGTTAAAACTAAAGAGTTTCCGTCTAGAAAGGTTAAGTGACTTCAGAGATAGAGAGATACTTCTCAAATGTATTTAAAAGAAGACGGAGGGCTCTGTGCATAGGGAGAACACCTTGAATTCTCCCTCCCATAATGTTAAGTGCATCAGCATCAGACTCAGTCTGGAGAAGGAGCGCAAGTACTCTAATAGCTAAGAACTAGTTTTCAAACCTGGGTTCAGTCACTTCATGTCTCTACATCCAGGTTTTTCTGTCATTCTGTAACAGCACATTAGAGAGTGCATTTCTTAATTCCTTACTGGCAGGCTGGATGACAGGATTGTCATCTATAAAACAATACTCACATGAAAAAAAAAATCCAAAAGGATTATTTCAGAGACAATGTGGAAATTTTATAGCTATGTGATTCCACGTATAAATACCACTTTATCTAAATTTAAAGTGTTGATCAAGATGGTCTCTAAGCCAAAAGAATAAAGAAGGAAGTGACAATTTCACCAAGTGGAAACATCCAATTCGGTGATTTAATAAAATTTAGGGTTCAATGATCATTAGCCTTTAGCTGCAGGGTCGCATTGCCCTCAGCCCTGCAGTTTTGTTCTCTGCTAAGTCATCTCAGCAGTACCATTAGTTGTCATATTACTAATAATGGGTGTCTAGGAAGTCTCATCTATCACTGCTAATGTTTCTTCTTTTAAGTGGGCTGGTTAATGAGAAGGGGCTGCTTTAGCCACGGGAATGCATCATTAGCCAAACATATTATTGCAAACATCACATCCGCTGCTTGGTTTTTCTATACAAAAAGAAGAGGGAGAGGGAGAAGAGTGAACTTGAGAGAGAGAGATGGAGGGAGAGGGAGGGGAGAGGAGCAAACATCCCTCTAGAATGCAAGGAGTTTGCCTTTTCCCACCAAGAGAGATACAAAGTATTTGGTCAAATTCTTAAAAGTACTTCTAGAGGGTCATTAACCCACTATTGAATGTGAGAAAGAGACATTTGTTTTTCAACATAATATTTTCCAGACACAGATAAAATTATTTTTGTATAAACAAACTCAGTATCCAAGTAAAGAACTATAATAAATAATTTAAAGGTTTGGCATGATGACTCGATGGATAAAGCACTAATCATACAAATTTCAGTATCAGCATCCACTTAGGGCCATGTGAGTGTGGTGGCCTGTCTGTAATCCCAGCCCTGGTGAGACGGAGATGGGATACCCAAGGCATGCTGGCTAGCTAGACCAGTGGGAATGGCAAGCTCTGGTTTTACCAAGAGACCCTGCCTCAGAAAGCAGAGCATGATCAAGTAAGAAACCCACCTTGGGCCACTACAATCAAACTGTACTGTGTGTGCTCTCAAAATTACTCAAACACTGAGTTTCTAATTGGCACAGAAAGTGCATATATACGTTCAATATTGTATACAGGTCTATGCTTCTCAAATGCACAAAGACTGAAAAATAGGAAGAAAAGCGAGTATCAAAATACCCTTTTTTTTCAGCTACCTTAAGAATGTTCCTGTCTCCACATGCACCTCCAGGGCCTCAGTGTCTAGTACCACTCATGTAGGGCAGCACTGCTCTGTGGGTAGCTATTTTATGCTTTCACCAACCAGCTCTCCTAGATGATGATCCACATCTGTGTCCCTTCAGAAGTCAATAATCTATGCCAGCTGTTTTCCAAAAATAACCATTAGGAAGGCACCAGAGCAGACCCAAATGTAGATCCCGTCAGCTGCGCATCTTTCCACGTTTTCTTAGCTCTTCTGGGGTTTCACCATCAACATGCTGATCAGGGACTAGGAGGGAGTGAACTACTGTTGTCAAATTTTCCCTTTTTGGATACTCAGAGCAGAACTGTTAACAATCTGTGTACATGAAAACAACGCTGCATACTAAGAAGATACTAAAGGATGAGACAAACAGCATCCATACCATTTTCTTGTCTTAAGGTCTCAGCGTTTATTATATTCTGACACAGCAATGATTGATGTGGATGCCTTTATACAGAGAGCTGAAGACTTATACAGCCAATGAAAGATTATTATACTTAGTGGAAAGATAAAGTCAATGAAAAATGATGTAATAAAGCTCAACTTTCCAGCTTCTTGACTGTCAGATTTTGTAATAAAAATGTATCTAAACTTTATAAATCAACATAAATCTATGAGACAAACAGAAATAGATTGCTTACTAAAATTACACAAAGGGCAGAATACTTCTTATCTAAAACCAACAAAAGCAAGAAATGCATCCAAAAGCATTTAAAGTTGGGCCCTTGGATATAAACCTAGGCTAAACAGGTTCTTCTGGTTCCTGTGGCAAAGTCTTGGTTGAGTCAGTTCAGTTTTAGGCAGATAATCTCTTTAATATTATGTGCACAGCATTAATGAAGATGGAAATAATAGCCTCCTTCAAGGAGGGCATCAGTGTTTCCTAAATTTTCCATCACTCATTCCTAATGAAAACATATGTTCCAGACCGTATCACTTGTAAGGGGTAGGTCTGAATCTCACACTGATCACAAAACTAAAAGTTTCAGTCTTTACTACCATGAGACACAGAGGATGACACATACTGTGGGACACATGCAAAGAGGTCAAGAAGTGACTGTCAGTTTCCAAAACGAAAAAAGAAATGTCAATCACGAATGATGCTGCCGATTTACGTTACCAAAAAACGTGGGACCAGACCAACGAATACTTCCTTTCAGCCACGGTGTGGATGAGCACACAAACAGAAAGGCTCACTGCTCCTCCTCACAGGAACCAATGCTGATCCCTTTCCTATCAGGATTCCAACTTCTCTACTGCCACATGTGTGCATGTGCCTGTGGAGGCCAGATTAGGGTGTTGGATCCATGGAAGCAGGAATTACAGGTGCTAGGAACCTGACCTAGGTGCTGGGAACCAAACTCAGGTCCTCTGGAAAAGCAGCAAGTGCTCTTAACCATACTCTAGTGTCAAACTCCCATTTTTTTGGATCAAAGTGAAAACGTTTTAATGAAAAAAATTAAGTGGTAGGCTCAGGATCACACCTTGACTACTGATATTGACAGTACAAAACCCATGGCTTGCTTTTCTAAGTGCCTTCTCCTATACCACATTGTCTTTTTATATACAAATTGAAGGTAGATATATATTCTGATATCCTACAGAAATACACACGCTGTTACTTGTCAGTGTACCTCACTGGATGATAATTGCCCCCCATGACTACTTCAGAGCCTCCAAAAGCTGCCATCACCATTCCTACACCTGACTTAGAACTCAGGTTGCTTTGAACTATCCCATTCCCAGACTACGTCAAGTTTAATTAAATTAAAAAGATTGGATGGAGGCAAAATAGACCTCAATTTTTTAAGATTATTTTTATTTATGTGCATGTCTGTGTGCATGTATGCCACATGTGTGCATGTGCCTGTGGAGGCCAGATGAGGGTGTTGGATCCATGGAAGCAGGAATTACAGGTGCTGGGAATCTGACCTAGGTGCTGGGAACCAAACTCAAGTCCTCTGGAAAAGCAGCAAGTGCTCTTAACCGTCTCTCCAGCCCAAGCCTCAATATTTCTTAACCTTTGGGATGAATCCAATACGCATTAAATTTGAGAACCAGAGCTTTAATTATTATTAAACTTTAAATGTTCCAGGTAGTAGCAAATTAACAAGATTTAACATAGCCACCACGTTCAATTTTTTTCTGTGAAATTAAACTAAGATCAAAATCAACTATCATAGAACACCAATATTAGTTACTAAACAATTAGTTAAACAATTAACTAATTAATTAGTTACTTAGCTCCTTTTAGCTGGTGCTACAGAGAAACACACAGGAATCCTTACACACACACACACACACACACACACACACACACACGAGCCAGCAGCCACAGTGCACTCACACTCACATGTCCACTGCTGCTCCCCTTAACATAATCTCACAGTAAGAGCCTTATCATGGCCAAAACCAAAAGAAAGAAATCCTATAAGTCTTTTACCAAAGCTAATGCTGAGACTTTGTCTTTGATTTGCACGATTAAATGAAAACCATTTTACAAGCACATTTAACTACCACAGGTTTTGAATTCCCTAACAGAAGACAGTGTGATTAAGGAGTCATAAAACCAATCAAGAAAGGATTTTTATTCACTGTACATAAGAAAAATAGGATTAACCTACAATCAATGAAATTGTTCCTTGTTCTTTCTAGTTATAAATCTTGCTTATAATAAATGTCTGTCAGTTCTTATATTCAAGAGACTATAACCAACCTAGTTCCTCAATCTTCTAACTCTGTTTCTCCAAGGAAAAGCTTTCTGTGACATTTCTAGTCACTAGTCCCAAAGACATAGTAAAAACTGAGCACTTCTTGGGACTGCTAAATTAAATTTAGGCTAAATAATGGTAGCTCATATCCACAGTCCAAGCACTTAGGAGGTTAGAGCCATGGTATGGATTCAGGGTCAGTCTGGGCTAAGAGTAAGATCTTGTCTCAAAAAAAATCAATTCTACAAAGAAGATAATATATTTATTCATTTCTGATAATTATGTTATACTTTCATAACAAGGGTTTATCTTAACATTTCAAAAGCATTCAAATCCAACATAATTCAGAAGAAGGAAAAATGTCTACTTACAGGTATCATCCAGTTGGCCAGGTCACCATATTTAGAAACTTGCATTGCTCCTAACATTGTTAGATTGACATGTCCCCTGGGAAATAAAAAAAAGAAGTATAAAGCAAACTTCACAAGCTTTATATCCCCTTTGCTTGAAAGCATCAGCAATTAAAAAAATCTTATGGCCCCCAAATGTATCTATTTTCCTACTCCCTGCAATTGATTTCTAAATAGATCAGCTCCAAGCTGGTGCAAAGAAGTAATCATTAAGAGTTCTTTAAAAAAATTATAGCTTATATTGTCTCCAAAAACAAACTAAACACAGGTGTGCACAGTGAAGTTTGTTTCCTTCAGTGGGGGAGAATGTGACTTGTTTAGAAGAAAATGTTGGGAATACCTTATAATGTTATTTCAATCAAGCTGGAACAAAGATGCAAACTCCATGCAGGGGGTCTTTTCAAAGGAGTAGGGTGGATATTTCCATGCCCAGCCCTCAGGGGGAATAATTTCACAGCTTTCTGCAGCTGAACAAACCGTGACCGTTTAATGGGACTGTGGGAAATGGGACTGTGCCTCGGAGTCTTGCTCATAGGCCGAGAGATGACTCAGCCCACTCTACACCATGTGAATATGAGGGGCTGCGTTATTACATACCCTCTAATCATTGCGAATGATTCATCGCTGGAGAAGAAAGAGGCTCCTGGAAGAACAGTAACTGTTTCCTTTCCTAAAGGCACACACAAAAGAAAGAAGGAAGGGGAGAGAGACTTTTTAGATCTCTGAGATCACCATGATGGATAGAAAGGACTGTACCAACTCTGCTTCTGGAAGATTCTACAATCCAACCAAAATGCAATTGCACATGGGGTAGCAACTGTCCACCCCAAGAAGAGGTGTATTTTGTCAGTGACATTGTTTAGTTTTGTCCCTGCAAAGAGATAACAACCAGCATTTATGGGATTACTGCTTGGGAATTCTCTACAGGCAAAGCATTCTCTACTGTCTATACAATGCCCTTCAGCTTTGCAGGTTTAGACACTGACAATTTGCAGCTAAAGACTAAAGCTTGCCAAGGATCTAACACGCAACACAATGGCTACAGGCAACACCACCACACTGCACATTTGAAATAAGTTTTGAAAGGAAACCTCAGATGGCTGCTGTGAGGTGACAAATGGTCATTAACTTGATTATGTCATACATATAAGCATACATGTCAAATCAACACACCAATTTTTAAACATTGAATATACACTACTTTCTTATGCAAACTATGCTGGCTAGTTAGTTCTTTGTCAACTTGACACAAGCTAGAATCACCAGAAAGAAGGAAACCTCAGTTGAGAAAAGGCCTCTATAAGATCTGGCTGTAAGCAAGCATGTGGGGCATTTTCTTAATTAGTAATTGATGCGGAGGGTCCAGCCCATGGTGGGTGGTGCTGTCCGGGGGTTAGTGGTCCTGGGTACTATAAGAAAAGAGGCTGACCAAGACAAGGGGAGCAAGCCAGTGAGCAGTACTGCTCCATGGCCTCTGCATCAGCTCCTGCCTCCGGCTTCTGCCCCACTTGAGTTCCTGTCCTGACTTCTTTCATTGGGATGAACAGTGACAAAGTATAAGCCAAATAAACCCTTCCCTCCCCAAGTTGCTTTGGTCATGGTGTTTAATCACAGCAATAGTAACCCTAAGACACCAACTATACCTTAATAATTGTGGGGAGAAAACCTAAAGTAAAAATAAATGAACAATATAAAACGCACATACCTAATTCCTTATTATCATTAAGCCTGACCCTCCTCCTCACATGCAAGTGCATACACACATCCATCTTTATTCTTAGCCTGGATAAGCTGTGAGCTTCTGTCAGATCACATACTTTCTGAAACCAGAGAATGCTTCTGAACACATTTAATACTAATTTCTAAGAGATGCTCTTGTTAAGGCTTCTAAAAGTGGCACATTGTTATAAAAGTTCAGAGCTGAAAACAAAAAACAAAAAAAAAAAAAAAAAAAAAAAAAAAAAAAAAAAAAAAAAACTTCACACTTAGCCAGGTGTAGCAGCACAAATCTGTAATCCCAGTACTTGGGAGCCTGAGGCAGAAGGATTACCGAAGTCTACATAGGAAATTCCACCCAGCCAGGATTACAGATGAGGGAGACCTTTTCACCTTCATGTTTATCCAGTTAACACACTAGCTAACTACCAGTGCCTTGGTCAGATCCAAGCTGCCTGTCTTGTGGGATCTACTTCTTGTTTGTTCCAGAGTTTCAGAACATCATATGGTCTCCCATGGAACAAGCGCTTAAAGGCTACCTGACTGAAACACTTCAATGGTCCAGAGCACTTCCTCCTCTACTGGGATGCAGTGAGGTAGCTAAGAATAGGAAACAAAGCTTTGGTGGAGAGAACAGAAGACAGGAAAAGCTCTCGGATGTCTCAGCACTGGAAGAGGTCTGGCCATGTCCAGTTGCACGCACCACAGCCTCACCGGCCGCCGGCTTCTCAAGGACTGCAGAAAGCTAACACTTTCATCAATATCCCCCACTTCAGCTCAAGTATGGGAGAAAAGCAAACCTATTTATATCATACTGAAATATTTATTGCCCAAGGGAGTTTGATTCTAAATAATGGAAACATTTTCTCATCTTCCAGAGTACCACAAACCTGAAACGCTTTGGGAAACACTTTCTGGTGTGGTTAGAAGTGGCTTTTAGACAGCACACAAGACAGAGAATTAAGTAAGATACTTCATGTGAAGTCCCCAGTCAGAGCTGGGCACAGGGCAGAACTCCACCACCGCAGCTATCATTATAATCATTGCCTTCCCCCAGAGATAACTGCATAACTGCATGGGACCACAAAGTGGCTCATATAGTAGGGTTCCCAGCCATTCTGCATGAGCCCTAAGCTTTAGGACATGCACACTACAGCTGGACCTCATCCACACATATCTCCGTCTGGCACAATCAGAGCCCAGACACTTCTGTGAGGTGGACAGGCATGGAGGAAAACTGTAGAGGACATGAAAGAGACATAAACATATCAAGTCTTTGGTTTCCTGTTAAATCACAATGGCTTCCAAAAGATATTCTCCACTGACGATATATGTGAGGTAGTTTTTTTTTTAATTAATAATAATAATAAAATGAAAAGATAATAATAAAATATAATAATATTTATTATTATTAACATTTTCTAGGCAATTGCAAGGTCAATGGGGCAGTGTGTTCTGCTGCACAAAGCATAACTGTATTTAAAGACCCAAGAACAACCACATGGAAAAGTATCCAGGCTTCTTCCTGGACAGTCTTATAAATTATATTCTTTTGAAGCAGAGTCAACTGCCCACATTTTTATTTATTTATACTATTTATCTCGAGTATATGTATGTGTCTTCTAAGGCATTGTTATATTCTTTGAAGCATTCACCTGCCCACATTTTTATTATTTATGTTATTTCTTTTGAGTGTATATATGGGTATGTATGGGAGGTCAGAGAATAATTCTCAGGACTCATTTTTCTCAGGTCAGGCCTGTACCTAAGCTCCTTTCTACCCACGAGCCACTTCCTAGCCTGACTTTTTTTCTAGAAACAATATTATTTTACATGTCAATCTCAGTCCCCCCACACACATCCCATGTCCCACCCACCATCCACTCCCCATCCACTCCCCAGGGAGGGTAAGGCTTTCCATGGGGGAATCATCAAAGTCTGTCATATCATTTTGGGGAGAGCCTAGGCCCTCCCCCGTGTATCTAGGCTAGCCTGACTTTTACTCACTCATAATTACTTTAAGCACTCCAACTGGCTATCCAATCCAGAGGTCAGCCCTAAAAACATACATACGAGTAGCATTATTGAGACTCTGTATTTATATGCTTAGGAATACGCGCACATGCGCGCATACACACACACACACACACACACACACACACACCAATTAAAAGGTTTGAAGGAAGGAAAGAGAAGTGGTAAGTCATGTAATCATATTATAGCCTCAAAAAATAAAACAATTAAATCATTCATGTCTGTGGGTTTATACATACTGTGAATTTTCAAATCAGGAGAAACACTTCTGCCTCCCCTCTAAAGCTAACCCTTCCCTTTTATGAAAACATGAACCCCCTTTTAGCTTTTTGAGACACACAGAAGATCATTGATAACCATGATTATACTTCTGTGCAATAGTATGTCAGAACTAGTACCCGCTGGTTAGCCTTCCTCAACTTTGCCTTCTGCCTGCTCTGAGAACCACCGTTCTATTCTCAACTTCTATGAGACTGTTTTTATGTTGTTGTTGTTTTGTTTTGTTTTGGTTTTTTTTTTTTTTTGGTTCCACATATGATTAACAATATGCATGACTTGTCTTTATGTGACTGACCCATTTTGCTTAGTATAGTCCACACTGTCTCAAATGACAAATTACCATCTTTTTTTAACCCTTTAATAGTATTCTACTATGTGTTTTATTTACCCACTGATTAGCTGATTAAAACCTCAGCGTGTCTTCATTTTATTGGCCGTGGTAAACATTATTGGAATAAACACAATAAGATAGATGTGTTTCTGTGATTTGATGATTTTATTTCTTTTGGGAATATACCCCAAAATAGAATTACTGGATTATATGATAGTTCTACTTTTGGATGCCATCATTTTTAAACATCCAATATCTAAATGAATCCAATACCTAAATATACTATGTTGAACCCACAATTTTCTAATGCAATATCCAGGATTTGTTCAGTAACTATAACAATAAATCAATATAAAGATTAATAGCTTTGCCACCAATCCAAAACTCCATCCAGGCATCCAGTCCACATTACACCTAGGATCAGGTAAGAAACTTCCTGCTTCAGCTCTGTCCTGCTGATTCTGGGACCTTCTCTAAGCACCCATCCCACATAATAGACAGAACCCAACAAATGCTACTCTAAGCCTCTCTCTAGTGGATGGCAGTAAATACAGAGTCTCATAGCTTCACACAATGCTGAGAACAAGTAACAGCTGAATACTGAGCCCTAAACAAGCCATTTATAACATCCCTTCTAAGGTTCCAGGATGCTGCAGGAGAGGGGGCAGAAAGAAAAACCTGAAAGAAAATAAAATCTGTGATAAAATATCCTATACATAAGACACAGTCATCGTTATCACAAACTCATAGTAACTACAGGTTCCTATACTAAGTCTCAACAAGAATGGCCCTGCTAACCGTCAGGTATGGATGGAGGAGGGACACCCCAAGGCCAACCCTCATTAGTGAATTCTTTGCTACTAATAGATTCAGGGAGAAAGAGAGCCCCTGTCTTCAGTTGTATGCCTACTGCTGACCCCACAGGCTCCAATGAGTTGTCCCAACCCAGTGGTCACACAGATGGCCATGATTAAACTAAATGGATCATGAAACAAAAGTCAGGAATCTGGGGTTGGGGAGCAGGCAATGAGGAGAGCAAGCAAAGAGATAAAAAAGAGTGTGATAATAAAGTAATCAGAATGCATTAATACATATGTGGTAATATCAAATAACTCTTCTCTGTACATTTAAATGTTTTCATACTGCTTTATCAAGAGAGTGCATTAATTTTATCCTTACCTAGTTTATTGGTTCGTAATTCAATAGTAGGTAAGTAACTATTATTAGCACTGAACAAAGCTAGAAACAAACTTGAACTACCCTATACTATTGGTTCTCAAACATGAATTCCCAACAGACTCACATGGGTGGCTTCTGCATATGCGACTGCTACTGCCTCCAACTCTCCTAGTTTCTAATTCAGTACAAGAGTAGTAGCAACTGAGATCTAAGAGTCACTGGTCGTGCTGACACTATGGATACTAAGACTTAAAGAACCAATACCCTAACCTAAGGGGAAAACTACAGTTTATATTTCACAGCAAAAAATAGAAATAGTTACAAGACAAAATGACAGGTGTTTCAGAGAAAGACACTCAATGTGTTGTAGGTTCTGGGGAGGGGGCATTCTTGTCCTGTGGAAGGACTAGAAGTGACCAAATGGGACAAAATGTGAAAGATGGTTATAATGCAATCTGATGGTAATTATGAGCTTAGAGATGGGGATAAAAATGAAGGAGAGAATCTGGTAAGCACACAGTGAGTGCAAAGGCTACCAGAACGAAGGGATGGTCCTAAACAGAGAGAACTCCATGTCATTCAGTGTGGAGCTGCCTGTACTTCCCTGTGACGGGCCTGTGATTCTCCAGAAGTGGGAGAACCCTCAAAAAGCAGGGTGACCTTCTGGGAGGCTGTTGTAGTCACAGGATGTTTGGCAATGTCTCTGGCCTCTACCTACTAGACACCAGTAGTACTCGCTCCCAGAAGTAATAGTAAAAAATGTCTTCAGACACTGTCAAATGTCCCCAAGACTGTTGAAAACAGCCAGTGTCAAAGTTAGGAGGGGCTTTTCATAGGCCACAAGACACACAAGATGATTCTTTCTAAAGAAATTTAACACCATTACTTTTTATATTAAAGTAAGAAAACAGCACTGATAGGGAAGCATGCATAGTTCATATTTAGTGAAAAAGCAAAAGCAAGGGAATTATTAGAAATTTCACAGTTACTCTAGGTTTGCACCCAGATTTTCATCGCACCTATCTGCTGCCATCTGCACCTTCCCAAAGCTGGCTTTTCAGCAGGTATATTCAGTGTATGGACAGAAAATCATGCATGCAGCAGGAACAAGAGACAGTGGGAGCTCAGACTCTAATGACTTTATGTTGGGCACTTTAAGATTACAGTGGGATTTCAGAACTTGAAAATTGGTAGTTTCATTGGGACTGAGCTACTTTGAAGCTTCATGGAGTAGGAAACCCCTCCCATCCAACAATGGGACTAAAAAGATTAGCTGTTCTTCCAAGGAAAATGGGTTTTATAAACTCAAAGCCCAAGACTTGGGAAACAGAATTACTCATTTCGCAAATAACCAACTACCATAGTAAATTAATTAAAGCAAGCAGCAAATATTTTCACAGACCAGTGAGCTAATTGCTAAAGGATACAGTATGATTCAAGTACAGCACTGGTTAAATGTCACTGTGTGGCCACACTGGGACTTTCAGAGTTGAGTTGTGTTAGCTAATTCAAATATTCAACCTGAATGTGTATAGGTTCCAAAAATTCCAAGTATCAGACATCATTCTACTTGACAGCTGGACTTTATGTTCAGCTCGTATTACATCTGAGAGTTACACACTCTATTTTTGAATACAAAGTAAGAACAATACTTCTGTGGGGGCAGAATGAATAAAGAAAGGCATTGAAAATCCTCCTAGGACATAAATTAACTTAAGAACAGCTCTACCCCAAGGATGAGCCAAAAGCCAACAGAAGAGCAATGGTGACAGTCACCAAAAGACCTGACCCATTCTCTAGGTTGCTAATATATTACATGTTCCTGGCAATTAACAGGCTGATAATAAAAAGCAAAGCATGTGACTACAGGAGCTGACGAGAAAACAATGTGATCCCCAACTCAAAGAAACTTCCTGTGTGTTCAGTTCACATCTTTGGCATGAAATCAGTGGCCTGGTACAGACTTAAGCAATCCTGCCTTTAGAGGCTGCCCTCTCATGATAAAAAGACCTACAATACATAATGGTAAGCATTACCTACAATCAAAACCCCAGTGCAGCAGCCGGGTACTATGCATCCACCCCCACTTTCTCTATCCACTTGGGATTGGCATATTTCCATATTTCCATATAACCTGGCATATTTCCACTTGGGGTTGGCCAATAGAGGCCCAGGCAGGAGACCCCAGCAGATGTCTTAGTCCACCAAGGTCACTGTAATTTGGTAATGGTTTTTTACCTAAATGCCACAGTTTCTGTTGAGTGGCTCTCTACTGCCACCCCCTTTAAGGATAAAATAGAATAACTCTCTGTAGGACTTCCCCATCGTTTGTGAGTTTCTTTCATGCTGTCCAAACCCTTGTAAATTGCCCTGTCTTTGAACTCTTCTCAATAACACCATGCAAGGGTGTGTTCTCTATTTGAAGACAGGACCCTGTCTAACTAGTTAAGGTTCTGCCATTAAAACGTGCCTCCGCCTGCATTTCTTCCGTTATCTCAGCTGAGACTGAGATCTCAAAGACTAGAAGGGCCATTTTTCTCCTTAGTCATAAATACAGTGAATTCCCTCCAGAAAAAGACAAAGAAATAGGTTCAAACTGGTTTCCGATAGTCGACACAGAACTAAACTAGCAGCAAAAGAAAATGTTGAAAAAGAAAGAAGTGAATTTACCTGCATTGATGAGGTCAGCATCAGCTTCGTGTTTTAGAGGGTATGGACCCTGTCAAATACAACACAAATTCAGAGAGTAACAGAATCACATTTCCCCTCTGTAACTGTGTAAATACCTTCCCTGAAGATGTAGAAAGTTAACATCCAAAGACTGAGGTAAACTTTTTCAAAAGTAATTCCTGGGTTTTCACTACTCTTTTTCTCATATTGATTATGACTGGGCAAGTGAAATAGTTCCTGAAATTACCAGTCTGCTTTAACTGCTTTAAGAGAAGTAATTCTTTAGTGCCTGCTATATAGATACCCTAACAATGTTATCTAGAAACTTCATGCAAGAATCACACACACACACACACACACACCTCATTTGTGTGTGTGTGTGTGTGTGTGTGTGTGTGTGTGTGTGTGTGTGTGTGTGTGTGTATTTGGGCGCGTATTTCTAGTACTTTGTGTTCATTTC